TTAGGGTAAAATGTATTTAATAATAGTATCTAGTTCTTGATATTGTAGGTAGGTATAGTAGTAGGTATTGTAGGTATGCAGTCCCATGGTCTTGATTGCTTAGTGGATTGGACAATGTTATCGGGAATGAATACTCAGACCCACCCACCCACTCTGCAAAACGATTTTCACGCGTACGAAGTCGAGCAATATAGAGTGCGCGGAGGAAAACAGCTTGTGCTTGGCTAATAAAACCTACTAGTACCACTAGTACTTAATTTCAGTATGGGTATTATATTCCCCGAGAAGAAATAAATATGATTATGTCTGATAAATTAAGGACAAAAAACGGTACGGTAGCAACACAAGCAAAAGGTAATTTAAAATACAGCAAAATTAAATTTTCATTTTAAAGCCATGGTAAGTTTAGTTGCGAACAACTTCATGAATTAATTATGACTGGTGTGTTTAATTAAAATCTATTATTTATAGTGTTTTATAGTAGTAAGAAGCATAAGTCAGCGTAACATAAACACCAGTTATGTTCAAATGATAAATTATAAGTAAATAAGTAATCCATACGGTCGATAAGAAACCATGAAACTTATCATTTATAGCCCTTAAATCGACAGTAAACATTTTTTAAGATTGTCACAAAATCGACAATACGGACAATAATCCATATCCGTACAAAAAGAGAAAATGGCGACTCGACTGACGTCACTACGGGTCCTACGTTACGTGCGATCACGTGGCTTCCGCACGCTTGCCATACGTATGGGGCCGCATAGCTTCCGTTTTGTTTGTGGTGTTAGTGGTTGGCTTACACAATCACTGTTCCACTATCATTATCTACGAATCACCTTGTTCCATAACGACACATTGTTTTGTCCCTTTTTCAGTCATATACGTCATGTAACAGAAAGTTTCCATGATTTAATGAATAAACAGTGTTTGAGCACTGAATTCTTTATTAATATCAGAAGTGATTTACTTTTTATTAATTAAAAGTTTTAAAAAAATACAAAATACGTTATTGTTAAAAAGTACAAAATATGCCATTGTTAAAAAATGGTATACTATCTCCCGGAAATTCACAATATATAGCAGTTTTTATTTGAACTTTTAAAAAGCTTTTATCAAAAATTATTTGCAAGGTGGTATACAAACAAGAATCCTAATTCACATCGTATTACTTATACTGTTTTGTCCTACAATTTGCATCGTTGAAGTTCATATAGCTATTGGGTAAATATAAAATGATGGATGATGGACATTATTCTACCCTCTGTACATATCGTTTGTCATATTTTCAGTCAATATAAACTTTTAGTGAAATTACCTACCCCAATTCATAAAATATTTATTGATGTATTGTATGTATAACCTACCTTTTTTGACGGAAGTGGGAGCCTAACGATTATTTCACGCTTTATTAGCCAAGCGAGATACTAATAGTTTTTCTACCAGCTCACAAGATTGATAGTGGCCGTAAGTGATTGGTCATCATTTTTATAATCAATTGTTGAATTTGCTTTTACATATTTAGAAAGTTTCAATATAATAAAAACCCTTGTTCTTTGATTTTTACTTGAAATAAAACCCAATGATTATTTAATAAAATCGACTCTACATTACGTTATAAATATTTAGAAGTCAAGGCACATTTCGACTGTTGGATTAAGTTAATATTTATAAGAGTTAAAGGAATAATGCGGAATCTGCTTTAAAAACAAATTCTTGCCTGATTTAGTTTAAAAAAAAGCTACGTTTGTTGAAACTGTTATTGTTAAGGTATATCCCAACAGAGCAGCTAAAATTATTACAATTGATATCTACGACGCTAACGACGCTACGATCCTCGGCGTCGTAGGCAACGGAAGAGCGTATTAGCGAAGCTTTAAGCTCCGTATTTAATTTTTGACTATCGTCAAAAAACGAATGCACACAACCAGGATCAGTGGTCTTACTCAAGTCTTACGTCGGTATATGTTATAACTAGGTATTGAAATCGCACGCGCATAATGTTAGACTCTTAACTCTACATGGTGTTGAAAATATCAGGGAAGCTAAAAGTAGGGTACTCAAACACAAGATTATTGAAAACTACATAATACATTATCGTGCTGAGAATCCATCAAAGTTCATTGACTTACCGAATACGAAAACCGACTTACGAAGTGGCGTCGCCCAAATCCAACTCCCGCCAAATTGAAACGATCACCGAATACACAGAACGCATTTCAGGGATAACGTGGTAGTCTGCGATCGATATACACGCTCACTGCAAAGCCGAGCGGGCGCTACGCGCGGCTCGCTGTGCACCCAACGCTTCTACCGCACATATTATTCTCAAGTTATAATTTTACACGCACGTCCACTCATGAGAAAAGCAACTTGAGACGACCGCAGCGTTCGAAACCTTAATACTTCCCTTCGCTGACAATATTAGGTGACAGAATCAGCGATGGAGCCAATCGAATACCTTCCAACGGATAATTTGCACAATTTTGCAATCAACAACTTTACCGTGGGACGATACAAATAACTTTGTTAACCTGGATTTCGTAAGGAAAATTTTGAAAAGTAACTGAACACAGGAACGAACTTCACAACGCGTCAAGCGAATACCAAAATAATACGAACAATATGGGGACAGGAACCGGAGTCGCGTAATAATAAGAGTACACGCGTGGGGATGGTACGGAGGGTGCATTGTGCACCGGCGAATTTGGGAAGGGCCCGAACCGAAAGCCCTTGTTTGTTCCCCCTGCACTTGCGCAAGATGCGAACCAGTTTTGATTTTTGTGAATCAACCATGGAGTTAGGCCGTTCACAAGGGGTCTTTCATCTCACCGGGCCGTTGCCCGTTAGATGTACCAGGGGCTATTGTCACAGCCCCGCTCACGATAGTACAAATAATAAACTCGAACTTTAAAATTAATTAAGATTTTACTCGCTGATACGTTTTTTTTTTCTGTTGAGAATCACAATTTAACTTTTATGAAGTCTTTTCAAACCCTGGCAAGCAAATTTTATGAAAGTCTATATATAAGGTGATTTTAGCAGAAAAATTTAACAAAAAATCTGGAACCTAATTTAAATTTTTCATTATTTACATTACTTGGTGATAAATCGTAATCATAAACAGGGGTGGTTAATAGAAATGAATGGACAAATTGGACAATGCAATCTGTCCAATCTTATTAATTTGTTACTTGAGATTAAGAGTCACTTTTTAGTGGCATGCTGAATCTGAAACCTAAAACCCTTTACTTGTACTGATTTGTGAGGACTGGGTGGGCTAGTTCACCCAGCCCTCACAAATCAGTACAAGTACATGAAGTAGGTATGGTATGGCGCAATTTGCGCGAACCACTCCTTAGCTTGGGTTAGGCATGACCCTGCAATGGGACAATTTAATTACAAGTAAATGATAGAAAGAAGATGATGAAGAAAATGTATAAAAAAATAAACGAAACGAAATGTTTACTGTGATTCAGTGCCCTAAAATTTTGCGCCTTATGATATTGTATCAACATTTCAATTAATCTGCCTTCTGCTATGTGCATTGTGCATTGAATTGAAATACACAACCTTACTTATAATTACTAGGTACGTACTACTAATATTAATATTATTAATACTCAAGTTATTTATCAAATTATTTTTAAATTAATAAGAACTTAGAGGTGGTCTGCAATAAATTGACTAAAATGAAATTAAAAGCGGTATTTTTAAAGGTTCCAAACGTGAATATCGTCCCAACAAAAAATGTTCTTAGAGTAAAATAGAATTACATGAAGGACTAAAACACTGGTAATTTAAGCAAAAGAAAATTATTATTATTTTCCTCTTGGCAAAACACAAGTTTCCAGAATATGTAACTCCTTTCACAGTACATTTCAGTCCAAGAGACTTGGGGTATTTTGTGCCAGTCATCGTTCGGTGTTACAGCAAATATGTGTCTTAATGTCAAAACGAGCAAATTAACTAGAATGTATCTATCTTCAGAAACAGCAATTAAATTAAACCTTCTTGGTGAACAAAACCATTCTTCAATATTTCCCGTAACTACAAAAGGTTTAAGAGTTACAAAAAATCTTCTTATTTATTTGTCGCCGAAAATTTTTGATACTTGCTAAAGACTTTTCTGTTTGCGGAAATATGGCGTTCAAAGCGGGCCTAGTTTCATCATAACAATATTATTTTTTCAAAAGAAAGAACCCTTCCTTTCTACCTTTGAAATAAATAAACAACAGTTCGCTATTACACGCATGACCTTGTTGATTCCTTATGCAAACACCCTAATTTTATTTTAAATAAGGTGAAAGGAAAATATTTGCGAGGTATAATTTTATTAATCATAATCAGAAATGTAATTTAATTATTATTAATTAATTTCGCACTGGCAAAATTATCACCTGAAAGCAATTTTTTTTTAAATTACAATAAACCCCTTCAATTTAAGAAAAAAATAATGCATATTTTTTGTCATCCTTCTAATTATTTATGCAAATAACTACTTCTCTAATATTTAATCTTATTTAAGGTTTAAAAGTTAGTAGACACAAACTGTTCATCATTCAACTAAATAAAAAAACAACTTAAGTTTATTTTTTACTTGTACTAAAACAATAACGTTACCGAATCCTTCAATCATTCTCAAATAATGAGTTATCTACAACTCATCATGTACTTTACAGTAAGTTTATTTGCACCAAGTAAAAATAATGTTTTTCCTCTCAATAGATAGATGGCGCTACACGTGATTTAAGACATACGTTCTCTTTGGTTTAGCGCTGCGCTAGCGTATCGATTTTACGCAGACCGCTCAGTATTTACACAACTAAAAATACAATTGAAATGTTTTGCTTTTATTAAAACAAATACGCGATTAAGTGGTGACATTGCGTGACTAATAATCTCCGCGTTGTCGTTTACATCGGATGTTAACATAAAAACGTGAAACGGAGCTATTTTTATGAAGTCGAGATAAAGTATCGAGTCTGTGCGGCGATGGCAACACACAAATGTCTATGAATTTGACCCCGAAGCTCGTGTCCCGAGCAGAAGGAGAGTGTGGTGTAGGGCCTAGCCCTTCGTTTTTAATTTTCATCTCGTTGAAAATTGTGTAAAATGGGCACATAATAGGTAAATAGTATTTTTTTACAATACACGCAATCGCCTCCGTTGATAAATCAATAAAATGAGTTTAGAAGTATTCCGCAAAAATACGTCGCTAGCAGTTCGTACGAGTTCTACAGCTAAGAATATCGTCAAATGTCGCGCACTGATCATTTCGAATCTATAAAATTAAATACAAGTGTTACACATATTGAAATTCTTGTGATTGATACAAAATAAAAGGTGTTTTTTCGGAATATACGTCATTGTATGAAGTGTATTACAATGTTCTCGTGATTTTGGTGAATGTGTTGAGACAATGGTGTATCGATTATTTTGCGCTAACGAAATGTCATCCCGGTGCCGTAGTGTTAATATTAGAAGTCTATGTTTGTGACCACTATTACTATTGTCTAGGCATCTACGCGTTTTATATTGAGCATGCAGAACTTGAATTTAGAGTGAGTGACCAAAATAGTGCAGACGATTCCCATTCGGATAAATTTCGTGCGCTCCTTGACAATATCTATTTTTTGAACATATCGTCAGGGAATAAAAGTAGTTTGCTACGATGTAAAAACATGACCTATATAATTCCCCAATCAAATAATATGCCCCTTACTAAGCGTAGTCTAGGGCAAAGTCAATCCACATTATTGATTTTGGATTCTTGTTTGGTCAGTTAATATATTATTAAAAGCGAATACACTTTCGAGTGATTTAATTAATGTGTTACAATTAAAATATGAGCTAAAAAATCATTTAATGAAATTATTAGTAGTATAAATTACGATATTTGTTTTAATTTAGGACGTTTTAAAAGATACCTACAATTTCGATAACATTTGGCACCTAACCAATAAATGTGTTTTTATTTGTAAACTTCCTTAAATGTGAGGCTTCTTTAAGGTCATTTATAATTAAGTCATCACAGAATATGTATATTCAAATCGTTATAATTAATTACCTACCGTTTCTTAAAAGAAACCATAAATTCTTTTACTTTTTTTAATACATTAGGTATATTATTAAAAGTTTTAATATTGCAGAACGTTGCTATTAAGTATTATGTTCAAGCTTTAATTTATATTAATTTTGCATTTCTTTTTTGTTTCAGATATCGGCAGAAAAGGAAAATTGTGCTCAAATTTAAACACAGTAAGTTGCTTATTTGAACTGATAACATAAGTAAATTGTTTCAACATGGCCAACCCAAATCGTGAAAGTGTTAGCACTCGTTTCTCGGATAACTACGATCTGAAGGAAGAATTAGGAAAGGGAGCGTTTTCAATCGTAAGACGTGCTGTACAAAAATCGACTGGTTACGAATTTGCTGCCAAAATAATTAATACTAAAAAGCTCTCAGCTAGAGACTTCCAAAAGTTGGAACGTGAAGCAAGAATTTGTCGAAAACTGCAGCACCCCAACATCGTGCGACTTCACGACTCCATCCAAGAAGAACATTTCCATTACCTCGTCTTCGATTTGGTTACTGGCGGTGAATTGTTTGAAGACATTGTAGCACGCGAATTTTACTCTGAAGCTGACGCATCTCACTGTATACAACAAATTTTGGAGTCTGTACATCACTGCCATCATAATGGAGTTGTACACAGAGATTTAAAGCCTGAGAATCTCTTACTGGCTAGTAAAGCCAAAGGTGCTGCTGTCAAATTAGCGGATTTCGGCTTAGCTATTGAAGTGCAAGGTGATCAGCAGGCATGGTTTGGTTTTGCCGGTACTCCGGGTTATCTCTCACCCGAAGTTCTCAAAAAAGAACCTTACGGCAAACCAGTAGACATTTGGGCATGCGGCGTGATTTTATATATATTATTGGTTGGGTACCCACCTTTTTGGGATGAAGATCAGCACCGACTTTATGGACAAATTAAAGCTGGAGCTTATGATTACCCATCGCCTGAATGGGATACTGTAACGCCTGAAGCAAAAAGTCTGATTAACCAGATGCTGACTGTCAATCCCAGCAAGAGAATTACGGCTTCGGAAGCATTGAAGCACCCATGGATCTGCCACCGCGAGCGTGTCGCGTCCGTCATGCACAGACAAGAAACTGTGGATTGCTTGAAGAAGTTCAATGCTCGTCGCAAGCTGAAGGGCGCCATCCTAACTACCATGTTAGCTACTCGAAACTTCTCAGGAAAATCTATGGTAAACAAAAAAGGCGATGGATCGCAGGTTAAGGAATCGACTGATAGCAGTACTACGTTGGAGGATGATGACTTGGACAAGGACAAGAAGGGCGTAGATAGAGCGTGCACCGTGATTTCTAAGGAACACGATGAAGAAGCTTTATCAAAGGCTGATTCTTTCGGAAAAGCTCGCGGCGACAGCAATGCTTCACTGCGACGGGCAGAAGTCATTAAAATGACTGAAGTACTCATTGATGCCATTAATAATGGCGACTATGATACATATTCCAAGTTGTGTGATCCTAATGTTACTGCGTTTGATCCTGATGCACTAGGAAATCTAGTGGAAGGTGTAGAGTTCCACAAATTCTTTATTGACAACACTCCGACTCACGTCAAAACCAATACAACAATTTTAAATCCGAGAGTGCATCTTCTCGGCGAAGACGTAGCAGTAATAGCGTATGTATGCGTGACACAAAGTGTGGATGCTGAAGGCCGACGAGCTACCCATCAGTCTCAAGAGACTCGTATTTGGCACAAACGCCACAACAAGTGGACAGCGATACATTTCCATCGCTCCTAACTAGCCCCTCTCCCTTTAAAATCCCTGAAGCCAAAGGAGAAAGGTCTCACTAAGAAAAATTTGTGCAATGGCGACATCAATGCAACAAATGTACGCGACTTAAAGCATTAGACACATTTGGAGACCATTTTAAATGTATCCTTCGGCAAAGGTATAAAAAAATACTTATTAACCAATTCTATGAAAATTTCACGAATTTTATTAGAACGTCTTTATAATCCCTGAAAATTAAGTTAATACCTTAAAAAGTCTAAAATTATTATAACCACATGATTATGAACAACATCATATAACCACAGTTCGTTTTCTAGATTGATTCCCAAAGTAAAGTTTATCCATGTGGCTAAAATGTGATACAATTAAAAAATATCCAATGCTTTGTGCTAGTTATATTAGTGTACAAAATCCTGATCTCGGCCACGATCGAAGATGTCAACGAATAACGAGACAAGTTGCTGATCAACAGTATAAGAAATCTCAATCAATATTGGATCTGATAGAAATGAATCTACTTTATAAGTAAATAAAATCAACAAAAAAAATTCAAGGTTTAGAATTATTACTTAGCACATTTCTCAGTAAGTCTCTCTACATTTTTAACTATGAATGTTTTGTCGTGCTTAAAAATGGTGTTCTATTTGTTATCAAATACCTAGTTAGTAAGGTTTAAGTAACTAATAAATCATGCAGTTATTGGCACTATGAGTCTATCTTGCGGTGAGTTAACTTTCTAGTAGATTATTAAATTTTAACATTTTATCTACTTTAGACTATCATACATAACTGAGTTAGATTTGTTTTCCACTAGTAGCAACTTTAACTAGTGCGGAGTCCTAACTTTATTACATTTTAAGTGGATTGATATCAATTTTGTCAATTTTTAGATTTTAATGTTGTTATGATTGTTCCGCTTTTAGCTTTCTTACTTACACAAGTAACTTATCAAAGGTATCCTACGAGATAACCGTAACAGTGTTAATTGAAATTGACTAGCGTGATTCTAACTAATATGTTAGTGTCCGTTAGTCGAGTTGCATTGATTTACAATTTGAATTGATAAGTTACGTTACTGATTTTGTACCTGATTATCATGATCAATGCCATTAAAGTTGAGAATATAGCTAATTGTTTTAAGTGATAACTGTGCAAGAGAAAGGTCTGATAGGTCGTTTTTCTACAAATTAAATGTACTTAATCATTATGAGGAGCTTTGTCAACCGTGATATTAATGTATAAAGAGGTGCGTTTTTTGCACAGTTTCACTTACGAAATGTGCTCTATTGGATCTGTAACTGTAAGTCTGCAGTAATTTCAGTATTTCCTAGAAGTAAAATTAGATATAAATGACATTTAACCATGTTTTTTACAATTTTGTAAAATATTTTAGTATAGTTAGCAAAACTTACGTTAATAAACATCAAGGGAGTTGGAATTGTAATTAATAAAATGGATCGCATAATTAGTAAATTGTTGAAGTGATAGTTTCACTGTATCCAGAGTACATAGTTGTGCCATTATCATTGAATTTAGTGCCAATAACTGTAAAACTAAAAATGTATTCTAGTCTTTATTGTTACGCATATTTAGTATTTAATCGACGTTTTTAAATTAATTTTGAACATATACATAAATAGTAACTTACATTGTGTATATAGATAGATATTGATTTGCACATTGCATGTTTAAAAGTGTCGTCTTTCAATACCTACTATTATAGAGCTAATATTAATATTTTTTCTTGAAATAACTTATTTACGTGCGTTATCTAGTTCCCTTAAATTTATTTATTTATCAATATTTTTGTTACTGGATCTTGATTAATGTTAAATTATATAAAATAATAATAAATACCTATATACTTAAATGTCACACATGTATTTAAATATTGTTGTTTGTCACACTCTGAAAATAGGCGCATGTGCTGTGAATAATTTATCATTGGCCAATAGTATTTACCTAAGAGATAAGTTCGTTATTTTAGGGGAAAATACAAGGAGCTAAATCTGGTCTAGAAATATATGTAAAAAGGTAGAAAGTGCCTGAAAATATCTACCTATCTACCTAAGTATTACGTAGGAACTTATGTCCCTACACGATATAGGTACGAATTCTAGTCCACAAATTATATTTCTAGATTGTATAGCACTACCAAGCATAATACCCAGCTTTGTACGAAAAACCCAATAACATACCTATTTAACTCATTAGTTCCTACTTATTATCTGTTGCCATCATACAGGAATAGATAGAAACTAGTGTTTGATAGGAGAACACCTATTCCTGATACAGAATCTCAATACAGGACCATTATTCCACTAAACTCAAATTTTTATTGGAGCCTAACTGAATGGTAAAATTAATAGTTAATAAAAATATTATGATGGTTAATTAATAACTACTTACTTACCAACCATCTAAAATATTTTATTGATCTAAAAAAAATCATCTCAGTATGGTCACAACTAACTTAATATCAAAAATTTCATATTTACGAGCAGTTATTAACTAAATAATGTAATTATGATTTTTTTTTTCCTAGTAAATAAATTGTTGTTGAAAGTTCATACCGATTTATGAATACCCAGTATCATAAATTTAACTGATAGGTACCAATTTCCAAATATTAACCCAAAGATAAATACAGGATGCACAAAATGTATCATGTACCTACCTACCTTCCAGATTTTCACTAAAGTTCTCCATTATAAAAATAATTTAATGTATTGTGTATTGTCTTCCCTTTACAGTTTTCCAAATAAACATCAATAATTGTGAAAGGAAACTTACCAGCTTCAAATTACCTTTAATAGTTACATACTTTGAAATTCTGATAGCTCTCCGCAAATTGTTAATAGTGCACTTTTACCTGTTTGCATGCATTTATCTCACTGGCTTTTACATAATATATAGGAGAGCTTTTTAAATATTCCAACTTTTTCTATTGGCTGCTTTTTTTATTACTAACTTAAAAAATAATATACTATGCTATAAATTTTAATTATTATTTTACATTGAAAATTATTGTACTTACATATTTTATAGTCTGGGTTACCATTAGAATATACATGGTATGTTCTTAGTCCAGCATTGTGTCGGACAATGGCACGATGCGGCTAAATATAAACCGTGTGTGATACAAATGGTTTCCTGGTGTTAAGTAAGCATGTAATGTGGGTGCAGTGCAATGTGGAAACAAAATAATTCAAAGTAAATATAAATTACATAACTAATTAGGATGAGAAATTTCTGTTGTATATTTTAAATATATTCCTCATGTAGTATCTTGCTGGTAAAATTCTTCATAGTGTAAAATTTTGACCATTCAGCTAGATAAAGTTGTGTTATTATTAATATTTTACATAATAAATTAAATAATATAAGCAAGGGTATTGTTTGTAAATCTATTAACAGCATTATTATTGAAGTTATTATTAGGCTATTGTATTGGGAGAATGCAATGTTTTTAGTAAAATTTATTAATCAATATTGCACCCTTGCTTGAGTAAGCCGTTGATGTTATTTTGTATGTTTTATAGATTCATACTTCAATGCACTACAAATATCATTTAGTATTTGCTTTTTATTACAATAAAGGCTAAGTTTGTTGTAGAATAATTTCCATATGTGAAAGTGTAGGTGTATTAAAGAATTGTCGGTAAATATATTTGTATTGAACATAATTTCTTGAACCTCTGCATTGCCGATTATCATGTAACATTCTCTAAAATAAAGTTCTTTTGATCTACAAAAATAATTTATTCCACCAATTCAAAATTGACAATAACTATATGCATAATCTAGTCTAATATTCACTACACTACACTACATACATAATATCACATCATTGTCATACCTCACTGCAAGTTCAAAAACTTAATTTTCTTGTAAACTCCTTTACAGCCATCCAATGTGACATTGAAGTTATTCAGAATATTACTGAAATGTGAGTCACCAATAGTTTTATCCCTTAGTTCATCTTCAATACACATTTTTAAAACTTCTTCCGTTAATGGTTTAAACTCAATGAATTTTTTGTATACTTTCACATCCTCAAAGGCTTGGAATAGTTCAGAGTGAAATGATTGGTCACACTTCTTCACAAAGTCCTTAGTTATAATGTCACAATTGTATACAAGTATCACTGTAATTTTTCTATTTAAGTTTTCACTTTTTTCGATTATTTCCACAATTTTTTCTTTCACTTCAAAATCGTTTTGTCTTAGGTCATCAACAACTACTACAGAAGTGTCGCAAATATTCAATCCCAGCATTGTCTCAGTTGTAAATGTGTTTCCGAAGCTAGGCATTGTATAATGATACACATTTGTACTATTCCATACGTTCTCAAAGGCCAAAGAAATTGTATAAGTCTTCCCAACACCTGTTCCACCATACATAAATATAATTTTACTTTTAGAGTCTTCACTAAGTGCTTCTATGAAACTTTTTATGGCTTTGGGTTGTCCATACAGACGGTTATCAAGTTTGATTTTCAATTTCTTTAAATCCAAGTCATCAATGCATTGTATATTAGAGATGCAGAGCATAATTGCAGTCAAAGGAAGCACTAACAAAGCCAAAACTAAAAATTGAGGACTTAAGTAGGTGCTTTTCTCAGTTTTTCTTATTATGTGAAATTTATTAACATTCCATACCTCGGGTTTGAAAGAACCACTGGATTCTTCTAAAGTGGCACTAAGTCTTGCTGCTTCTGGCACATTGTCGCTCTCATTCAGTAGATGGTTCGTTTGTGTTATTATTTGTCCAGCAGTAACAGAGTTATTAACAGAATTTGTGCTTAAATCAACATCCATAGGCTCAAAGCTGATATCATTGTTAGCCATTTCTTTCGAGTGTTCGTTAGGATTCGAATAACTTCAGGTTCAACCGTCTTGCGTTTTATTAGGAACTTACACGGTACTTATTTTAGGATATGTTATTGACTATGTCTTTGTGTTAGTATCACGAAAGTTAAATGTTTATTTATAAAATTAATTTACAAAAACAAATTCGCTCCACATTTCAAAATTTCGTGTCTTGTCAATGTCACTTTGATTGAAAGTCATGTCAAATGTCAATAATGTCACTCAAACCGGAAGCAAGACCTGTAAATACTCTTAAGAATAAGCGCCATCTATATTTTAAGATGTAAAACTGTACTATGTTTCTACTAGCATATTTTACAAGGAGACGGCATAAACCTTTTGCCCATCCTTATCGCCAGAATCATAAGATCACAATCATGACTTTAAAAAAGAAAAATGTACATTGAAGATGTTTTTTATAGTTTTACAGTATTCATTAATCAAATAAAANTGAATCAAATCGGTAGATTGATATCTAACCATAGTAACCATCACCCATTTCACCATCATACATTAGTAGCGATTTCTACAATTTATTATAACAACTTACAAAGAAACATAGGAGCACACTCTGCACACTACAGGAGAATAGACAAAATACAATAAAATAACTATTTTAATTACCTAAGTATAGCCTGACCAGGAACATAAAAACCCTGGCATAGAGGCGCGACAATTGCATTTAATAGTGCAACACTGAGTACAGTCGTACCTGTGTTAAATTAATTGGCTAACTTTATGTACCAGGATTCAGGATTACGGGCTAATTTGATATTTTCATAAATTAACGAAAAAATATTATTATAGGTAACCTGGTTTAAATAAATTAAATGAAACTATCAATCGAGCTAGTAGGATTTATTTTATTAATCATCAAATCAAATTCAGAACTTGAATATTCAACTGCAATGTCTGCTCCTGAACGCATCAAACCCGGTACTTCTTTCCCAATTTCATAAAATTCAACACTTACCCCCTTACTAATAAAACTTACACGCTCGTTGATCAGTGTTTTAAAATGACGTTTAGTATGGAAATGTCATTTTAAAACAGTAATCAACAACTGTGTAACTTTTTATTATAGGTGTANAATTCACATTGAAAACAATATGACTTACTTGAGCTTTTTCGACTTTTTCACAAAAATAACAAATAGTCAAGAAGAGATTACAAAATTTTTGCAGCGACTGACAGATTTCATAATTTTCTTTGACAGGTGACAATTAAACCATAGACAATTGCCATATGAAAAACACACTTTTCCAATATTTTTGTTTGCCATGAGATTCTGGTACACCTATAGTAAGGGGGTTAGAAAGTGACAATTTTTTTTAAAATAGTTGAAACAAACCACAGCTAATTTTCATAGTGGACTGTACTATAGTTCCAAAATACTGGACTGTCCTGTCGATGACATTGACAGTGGGGCGCCACCGTCAATACCGGATCGCTGGTTCAGATTTTTGCCATGTTGGAAACCATATAGTTGAACGATGGTAGCGCCCCCCTGTCATTGAGTTTGGCGGGACAGTTCAGCGTGGGTCATCTATATACGATAAACATGTCAGTCAATTTGACAACCTTTGTCGGAAACATTATTCAATGAAAATATTGTCCGAACCCTTAGTATTTCTCTTCGACAAATACTTTAACACATTGTGAACCACTTTTCTTTCACGACTGTAAAAAGATTTTAGCAATTTAATTCACAAAATCAATTGCGCACATTTAAAATAAAGTTTGTTTACACTTTGACAGCAATAGACTGACATGCAAGGTGACATGTCAATGAAGTTTTCAGTTACTGTTGCCATTAAAAGGAATTAGTACCATTAGTTTTCCACAACATGGCGAGGGTTTTTATGTTCCTGGTCGGGCTATAATTAATAAAATCATCATTATCTTTTTACCAATCCTATTATTGTCCTTCTCCATAAAATTCTAACTCGAAGTACAGGAGGAAATGACGATTTGATTGCCCCTCTATTTTCCAACCAAAGGCAATAAAAAGTAAACTGTCAAATTGGTGTTGTCTATGGTTACTGTTGCTTTGGCATTGGCTGACATGATTATTTTGTAAAATTCAAACGTTAATTTCGAAATGTGTGATAAAAATGATGGGAGTCCCAATAACTATAAATCTACTCCCCCGACTAATAAAAAGGTCCGGAATCCCTTCGATAAAGCATTAATAGATCGGTTACACAAACCGATATGTAGGTGAGTACATAGAAATAAGTTTCGTGGTAGAAAAGAGCCCACAATTTTCCCCATTAGATGTTTTTTTAACATGAACATATTTGTGATATTAGCCCGGGGATGTGCAAGATATATAAAAAGAAAAACAATGGATCCTTTCGTTGGGATATCGACCAGGCGTGTATGCTGGTACCAGCAGACATAGTTGTATGCAACAGCCAGTTCGAGCCTTCTCCTGACCCAGCCTTGGAAAGGATTGCTGAAGAGGCTACGGAGAGGTAATTATAAACAAACTATGATCTTTTACCAGGTGTATTTTGAATTTAGTCATTCATTAGAAGAATTAAGTATTGGCTAACTATTGCACAGTGTGGCATTTGTTTCCAAATGAAACTAAATAAAAGTTAAACCCTACCTACTCCACACTAGCTCAAACTAGTGGTGTAAGATTTCTTACTTCTTTATTGTTGAATACACAATCACTAACCCATAGGATTTACCTTAGTTAGAAACAACTATCAAGTAGGTAGTAATAGAAAATAAATAACCATAGATTTATGCCTGTTCATTGATCATGGTAATAATTCAAGACTAGATGGCACTGTAAAAATATTCAAGGTTGCTGACCTGGACATCTATTGTCATAATTATTACCAAACATTAATTTCACAGAGGAAATTTATTTTCAGATTCTTTTCTCAAGAAATGGTAATGCCAAGCCCACTTGAGTCTTCCAAAAAAGTGAAGCCTTTGCTTCATACCTCAAGCGATACTAGTATTAAGTTAACAAGCTTAACTGAAGAGAAAACTGTTGTTTTAAGGGATGGTAAGTATACAATCATTATTTAACTAAATCTTAAGGTAACTAACTGCACTGTTCAGTTGACTTGCTCATTAATTGTATGTTTTATGTCACCTCTGTCTTATTTGCTTTTTTTTTTATTTTACCTCTTTTGTCTTTTGTGATGTCCATGGCAATAAATGTTTCTTTCTTTCTAACTGAAAAGTAGGTTATGATTTAGAACTTTATTGGTCAAAATTTTCACTATTATAAAGCAAATAGTCAAATGTAATGTTTCTTCTCCACTGATATGAACTGACCTCTTGAAATATGTACCTGAAAATGGACAAACAGTTCAAAATTAATCCTTTTTCTTTATCACAACTTGTTTTCATGTTCAAAATGATTCATCTAAGGTTGTTTTTATATCCTTTACAAAGTAGCTTTGTATCTACATGTGCTTATTATGAACAGTAGTTACTACATATTTAGCATAGTGTTCTTTAAAAAATCACATTCTTACAGACAGAATAGTGATAAGAAAAAATAATATACAATTTCAGCCGCTATTATTTATAAATAGCGAAGTTTAAAATAAGTATAAACATGATTTTTCACAGCAAATATCATTCTGACATCTATCACTTAAAGTTAAAACAGGTTGAAACACCACATTCAAAATACAGTATGTGGGTACATGGGGTCGGTAACAAGCGCCGTCACAAAAGTTTTAGGAGACGTTTGAACTAGGTTTTTTTCTAATAAAGAAATAGTTAAAGTTCTATTTATATTTTTCTTGTCATAATTGGTTATGATGAGATTACAAAATCACAGCCTGTATGTACATAACACTCTAATCTAAAACTATATTTACCTTTAGACTAATGATATAGACATATTTTTTTATTAATTGCTTGATTTGATTAAGTTTCAGCACAAACTGTATTGACCCTGCCTCCAGAACTACCGCCAGAAATAGAAAAGATTCTTGAACCATTTTGCACTTTTACACAGGTACATAAAATACAATTTAGATTTACTTTTATAGTTTCTTGTTCTTTTTGTTTGCATGTATTTCTTTTCTAGTTCTAATCATTTAAATTTTGGTTGTGAATTTCAGGACCAAAACATATCAGGCGACTATGAAATCACGGCCAACGGTTCTCTTCGTCGGAAGTTATTCTTCGAAGAGCACAGCGATATGGAACATTATGACTCTGAGCAGACAGACGATGAAATACACGTCGAGCGAGAGCCTCGTCCGCCGTCAAGCTATGAAGCACATACACCCATAATATTCAGCCCAGACTTGGTAAGTTCGAACGTTTTTCTGAACTACTTAGCCAGAGTATTTCGAGGCGAGAGTGAATAGGCACTTAAAGGGCAGATATGTACCATCTTAGACTGCATCTCACTTAACATTAGGTGCGATTGCGGTCAAATATCTGCCTTGTCATGCATAAAAAAAAAGAGTGCCTATACATGTCTCCTCCAATATTTTTCTTCGAGCTGGTCCAGATGATGTGTTTTTACTCGCCCGTTTCGAATTCGATTCGTGTACTTTGAAGATGTTCATTGTTCATACTCTCTCCACATGCAGTCGCGCGTTTTGCTACTCGCGCGTTCTGTTTTGTGATACCTGTCTGTATAATTAGTATAGTAGTTTCAAGTTATAAATTTTGAGACATGGTTTAAAATAATTTAAGGTCTGCATCATCATCATCATCATCATCATTTCAGCCACAGGACGTCCACTGCTGAACATAGGCCTCCCCCAATGCTTTCCATGTTGATCGATTGGTAGCGGCCTGCGTCCAGCGCTTCCCTGCTACCTTTACGATGTCGTCTGCATAGTGTGCTGTAAACATAAAAATATACACTCATTTTTCCAAAAAGCAAAACATACACATCTTCAGGCTGTTTGTATTGTAATTTGCAGAGTCGCGATTTAGTGGCTAACGGAATGAGGCGGACTTTTGGGACCCCACTCAAGAAAGGTGCTTCAAATCCTGGGAAGTCCTGTTATCGTAACAAAATACTGGATGTCGTTGACTTCGGGGAGCCGTGTTTCAGCCCCATCCAGTTTCAAACCCCGAAGAGGATCGACCCAGAGTCGGGAGCATCTTCATCCCCCGCATTTAGGTCTATTTCGCCAGTGACCAAAGCGACTTCGAGTGATGAGGAGGTAAAATTTTGTTTTAAATAATTTTAAATTTTCATATCT